CCGATGGCCTCAGGCGACCTCAAACGCAACGCCCGTTCGAGCTCATCCTCGTTGTCGGGTCGTCCCGAATTCTGACCTATGTGTCGAAGTTAGGCCTGTAGCTATCGCAGAGTGGAGAGCTGCCTCCCTAGAGAGAGACAATCGCATCAACACAGGAGTGGAGCTGGAACCCCCCACAGAGAGAGTCGATGGATGGGATGCCCGATTAACGAAGTTGATGGAATTGATGGGTCGGCATGATCTCGGACAACCCTAAGTTTCTCTCAAAAGTTCATGGGTGCTGGCCCAGTGTCGGTCGGGCAATTTTTCCACTTGCCCCGGTGCCATGCAGGGTAGTTCTATGTCTTCCAGTTCGAGGTGTGGGTGCGAATTCATCAGAGTCCTGTCGCTCTCGTTTGGTTTCTTGCAGTTTGTTTCGGTGCCGGCCCCATTCGCCCCACAAGAAGCTGGACAAAGCTCACAATTCAATTCCACATGGCGCACATGGTCGTCCTTGCCAAATCATTTGCAACATGGACTGGTTTCGCGAAATGAAGACATTCTGACACAGTGCTCCCGTCTTATGTGTGTTGCTGCAGCTCTGCGGCCAACCTCAAAGTCGTCTAGTGGACAGTGTTGTGAGCGCACACGGTTTTGGCTCTGTCGTCGAGTTTCTGGCCGGGCTTGGGAGGCTCCGGATTGTTGGAGTGTTTCTGAGCGTCGGCAGGGCGGAGCATGACACGTCGGGGGAGGGGCTTGGAGGCGGTTCGGGGCTGGGAAGGATTCCGATTGCCGGTCGTTTGGAGCAGCGCTGGAGAGTGGCAACGCGTCAGAGACGAATCGGAAGTCCTGCGTAAGAACACCAGCAGTCGTGATCGGCCATTTGACTTCCGCATGACGGCATCACTGCCAGGCAAGACTGCTACGGCTAAATGCCGAAGGCTTGAAAGGCCGGGCGATGTGATATGCGGAGGAAATCGGATAGCTCAGCACATCCTTTTGCACGTCTCTCTCAGTTTCACATGTCAAGGTTTGCGATGTGCGTGATGCAAATCTTCCGTGTGGTCAGTTTTGCTGCAAGTGGTGTGCTTAGATCGGCAGCAGTAGCGAGCTAGGTCCTAGGTCACTGCTGTAGTGAACTAGATGACTGCAGTAAAGATTTCGCTACTTCCAGGCCACACCACGTTTAGATTAAGCCTGCTACCGAAACGGCAGTGTGCGCAGTGTCAGGATCAGTGTCTCACTTTGCACCACAGCGGACGGAAGCGAACGGACGTTTGCTACGTTAATCTTCTGAGTGTCCAGCTGACAATTCAATCAGTCTGGATCCTTTTTTGCTTTCGGCCGTTCCGCTGGCATGCAGGGGTACAGAAGTCGCTACCGAAAGAGTAGCGAGTGCAGCGTCAGCGATCAAGGGCCCGATTGATGCCACATAGTTCGACANNTCTTTCATGACATCTGCAAGGTCTTCTTGCCCACGTGATCATGACTCCATAACGTTGAGCACAGTGTTTGCGCCAATGCGCTCTTGGTCCCGCATTCGTTTTCCACTCCACGGTTGACAGCTAGCGCGCAGAGTTGAGATCTCGTAGAAGTTCCTTTCAGTACATGTTGTCAGACACAGCAGTCAGCAGTTTCGATGAGTCAGGGGCCAGGGGCAGGTCAGGATAGCCAATCGAAAGATGCTAGTTTCCTCTCGCCGGAAGCCATGGATGTTGGTGTTCCTGATACTAGCAGAGTGCTTGTACTGCGTGGTGCGACAAGAGTCGAGCTTTGTGGTTGGTGCCTCGAGCCGTGCAAGCAGGAAGCGCACGACCTGTCGTGCTGAGACAGGCGAGATGAGCTTCGAGCTTGAGCCCGTGCTGAAAGCAGCACACAGGGAATGGGGACGGTACTTTGAAAAGCATGCCGTGCGACGTCTAGGTTCAAAGTATCGTCCTGTGATGGGACTGGAAAGGTGGGATTTCGACATCGACATGGGCAAAAAGGGGCAGGTGGACTTTTTGGGCGTAGGCAACGGAATTGAAGCCTGGCAAGCATTCGCTAAGGACTACAAGGCATACATGCACAATGCCACCTACACCAAATTGCAGAAGCCCCATTTCCTCATCGCAGAGATTGGGCTGACCACACAAACTCTGAAAAAGAAGTTTGACGACAATGCAACCTCGCTACTGTTGTTGCAATCTTTTGTCAGCAGCGTCGAATCACACAACCTGAACGCGGTGAAATGCTTGGTCTACGATGGAGCAGATGCCGAAGATTTCACCAAGTGCCATGAGGCGAGAAAATTCATGGATCAAGGAGGCATCTTGATCAACATTCCATACTTGTCAGCAGAGACAGTTCTCGACAAGCTCAACGAGACCACCAAACTCCGTGAGGAGATCAGACAGTTGTTGAATCGTTCAGGCGTGATGGCTTGCACGGCATTTTAGTCGAACAGTTGAACATTGTTACTAGCTTTTGCTTTCAGCTGGACGGACAAGGGTTGCGCATGGTGACTTTGTTCCAACGCAGGCATGACCTCAACGTCATCCCCGTCATTTGTCGTCTGGGCGCGGGAGCTGGCCCGGAACCAGGACAGTGTTGTGAGAGCACGCGGTTTTAGCTCTGTCGTCGAGTTCTTGGCCGGGCTTGGAGGGGCTCCGGATTGTGGGAGTGTCTCTGAGCGTCGGCAGGGCGGAGCATGACACGTCGGGGGAGGGGCTTGGAGGCGGTTCGGGGCTGGGAAGGATTCCGATTGCCGGTCGTTTGGACGTCCGTCAT